AAACTCTGAGGCATCACCTTTCTTCCAAACTTTCCCTGTTACCACTACTCCAGGTTAAGTGCCAAGTTAAAATACATACATTCCCTATACCTCACTATATTGCCTAGCATGCCATTGCCTGTTTTTAATAGGTCTATCTGTTCAGTAGACTGGAGAGCTCCTTGAGAGTAGAAACTGTGTTGAAGTCATCTTAGCGTTTCTGAGTTATATTTTCTTAAGTCTTGGTTTTGTATATTTTAGAATAATATAACTATACTCAGCAAAGTCAGGTCTAAGTTTTCTCTGAACATTGTGTCCTACAATTCTCCTATCGTAACACAAAATCAGTTAAAAACTAAAACACTCTGGGGTGCCTGGGTGGCTCAGTTGGTTAAGCATCTGCCTTTGGCTCAGGTCATAATCTCAGGGTCCTGGGAATTGAGCCCCTTGTGGATCTCCCTGTTTGGTGGGGAGCCTGCTTCTTCCTCTCCTTCTGCTTCTTGCCCTGCTTGTACTCTCTTACTCTCTGTCAAACAAATAAATAAATAAAATCTTAAAAAAAACACCACCACACTCTTAAACAAGTTGCTCAGAACTCAGAATACAGACTGTGTCTCCTTTCTTGGAATGAAGAAGAGAAAATGTCTACAGAATGTGAAATGAAACCTGAATTAGTATCTTGATAAACAATCTTGTGACAGAACAAAGATGCTGCTTTAAGGACAATAAATTCTATGAGTAAAGATAGCCTTTGAGTTTCTCAGTTTTGTCTTTTTACTTTGCCTAAAGCAGGTCCAAATTATCCAGTGTTTTCTTTCAAGTATAAAACACACTTGGTACTAATTTAAATAAATTGTACATTCTGAATTCAGTTCAGTTTAAAATTGAGTATTTATAATAAATATTTTGCTAAATTAAAATGATAGGAATAGAAATAAAGTTTATTTAGGCTATATAGAGCTTGGTTGAAAACATTTCTTAACATAACAGTTTATGATTGGGAAATCATGGAATTTTAGAGCTAAAAAGATACCTTTTAGATAAGGAACTATCTCAGCATTAGTATGATGGCAAAAATAAATTACTGTGTACACTAATAACTTGTAAAAATGAAGGATTCTATATTCTTCCTACTCATTCTTCCAGCAAGGAAAGGTCTACTTAATTCTGTTTCATGTATCTGCCATATAGTTTAGACTGCTAGACTTTCAGGAGATGGGAGCTTCTTAAAATTGTTCACCAGCAAAAGGATTTCAGAATTTCAATCAAAACTTTCAGTATGGATCCCAGTTAAATTGGGTCAATAAGCTGAAGTTTGTATATTACAAACGCTGCTTTCATTCAGTTTGAACGTGCTGAGTGGCAGGTATGATATGCCTACTGAAATAAGAGCTTTGATTTCAGACACTCTAAATATGAAAGCAGGGGAGAGGTAAGACAAAATACCAAACAATTAAACAAATGAGGTCAACAGAAAAAATACAACAAGCAAAAAAATTTTCTCTTTAGAATGGGGAGTGTGTTTTTTTAAAGTCAGGTTTACCTATTATTAATTCAATTTTATGATTTACTAAGATTAATAATTAATTAGTACCTAATACATAGCAATATCTGTAACAGACATTTTTCAGGTGTTTTATATACATAATTCAAATCAGTGAAGGAGGCACTATTATTATCCCCATTTTTATAGATGAAGAAGCATAAAGAGATTAAATAACTTGGCCAATATCACACAGACAAGAAGCAAACCAAGGCTCCAACCCAAGCAATCTTGTTCTAAAGCTGGGACAATTGAAACATATGGTGGTTTGGTACTTGAGTTTTATAAAAGCAATAAATAAATCTAAATGCATAATACCCACACTTCCTGCCTCTTTCCCCCTACAACCTTTACATTCTCTCCTTTATTTAGGGGGTTAATCAAAAAAGAGAAAACAGCAGTCAAATGTTTAATTTTGATGCAAATCTCTCTCATTTATTTAAAGCACAACATGTTGGAAAATTTTAGTTGTTCAATTTCTGTAGACTTTTTAAACCAACAACTTTAGAGTAGAAATGCTATGATAACCATCTATAACCTCACTGTGGCAGAGTTTTCTTATTTGACTTCCATTAAGAGAAAGAAACATATTTCATATTTAGAATCTTCCAGTCTAATAATGTAGGCTGCTGAGGAAAAGGTTTATAGGTGTAGTTTTCACTATCACAGAGCAGTGCAGAGTATGCTACACCATCAGATAAATGAATGCCTAGTCAAATATTTCAACAAAATTAAATGAATCCCATCTTAAGTGGGCCATCTTGCCCATGAAAATTGGGCCCTGACAAGTAAACTGGATCAATCAGGCCTGAATTGTTTGCTAAGGAATCTGTATTATGTCCTGGAACTGAGAGACAGATCACATCCTTTTTCAACTAATGTGAGAGATATGGCCCTGTTCAATTCTTAAAAAATACTGGGAAGTGAGCAAAAGATTGAAATTTGAACTAAGTGGCACATTCAAGCTTAATTGGTGTTTCAAAAGAAACATATAAAGATCATATTTTTCAAAGGCGCTAAACTTTAATCTGATATAACATGGCAATAGAATGCAATCGAAGGTGCCAGTTTATCTTTGAAAGTGTATAATCTTGGTATGCAACTCAAACTATTTATTCTGCCTGATTTAATTATACAGTCTGGTTGACAACACTCAGTCAAGCAATCCATTCTAATAACTCTGAAGAGATTACCTGAGTCCAGGTACATAAATATTGCCAGAACAGTAATGAATGGCTAGATCATCTTCTTTTGACATGAATAGCAACACTGATTCGAGAGTGTGAAGTGTTGTTTAGCAGAAGAAAGAGTGAGTGCTAATGATATGCTGTAAATGTGTGCTGGAAAAAATGCTGAGGACAGGTTCAAACGATTTTCTATGTGGAAAATCAAATATAGCTGTAATGATATGTGATATAGAACAGCAGATGTTTCCCAGAACAAGTATCACTTCCATCACTAATGATTTTCTTATTTTTTAAGCCATTTTCATTGACCCACAGAAACACTTGCATTGTTTGGGGTTTAATAAAAACAGTTAATTAAAGTGTAACACAAAACAACATTTTATTTTACTTCTGTGCATGATTTGCTAGCAGAAGGAAAACGGTTTCATTCTTTAATTATGTCCAAATGCTAATGTCATTATATTTTTTCTCGATAAGGCTGTGATCTTTCCTGTTTATGACCAAGTGATAAGAAAGTCATATTATTTTTTACTAAAATAGTTATGACTATGAAATACATATTTTAAGTTTTTTCAAAAATATTCATTTTATGCATATTTGAAGTTGGCATTCTTATGAGAATGAATGCCATTGAGTCTTATATATTTTTCTATTACTAAACCAGGCAAGAAATCTATGCTCATAAATATAAATGTTCTCATTTATAGACCTTTGTGTCTATAGAAGGGAGAGAAAACTAAGGGAAATTGAAGGAAGCACATGGGTGTATAAATGTATAACTGCAAAGGGATAGGAGTGGTGGATAAGGGATGCTAGTACTGTAATCCACAAGTTACTGCTGAGTGGGGGCTTTTATGGCTGGATTGGGAAAGCTTTCCCAGGTTACTGGTACTAAGGAGAAGTCATGCCCTTTTTAAGAGGAAATAATGAAGAAAGAAAGAAATTACAAGTTGGTTCCTTTTACTCTTCCAAAGTTAGGATACTGTGAGCAGAATAGTGTGGAATAATCTAAGGAACTCAGAATATAGATGGAGGTGTGCCAGAATCCAGAAAGATATCCTTGAATTTTGAAACTTGTGGGAGAAACTAAAACATTAGGAAAAGTGAGAGAGGTTGGAGCCCTAAAGACAGATGGTGGGGAAGATGAAACACATGTATTCCTTAACTTTTTAGTAATTAAGGGTGATATAATAAGAATGCATAGAGTTTAGACAAAATTGGAGAGTTTAAATCCTTTGTGCATCATCTATGGACACTGCATTTTAGAGCTTACTTATTTTATTTTATTATTATTTTTTTAGTGTTCCAGGATTCATTGTTTATGCACCACACCCAATGTTCCACGCAATACATGCCCTCCTTAATACCCACCACCAGGATCACCCACCCCCCACCCCTTCCCCTCCAAACCCTCAGTTTGTTTCTCAGTAAAAATATATTGTGATAAACTCATATTAAGATCTAAGAAAGAGATTCAATATGTCTTTTTAATATGGAAGTTATTCTCAGAACTTCTGACAAAGGGTGTGTGTGTGTGTGTGTGTGTGTGTGTGAGAGAGAGAGAGAGAGAGAGAGAGAGACTGGGACAGGGGACTAATGGTGTGAGTGGAGCAAAGGGAAATATTACTCAAAGGCAAGGTGCAATATGATAATTTCAGTTTCAAGTGAAGGACAACCCAACTCAAACTAGTTTAAATAAGAGAGAAATCTATTGTTCTGTGTAAATGGAAAGTCCAGAGCTGGTTCCAGTCACTCAAAGGATAGCTCTCACTTTTCCTCCTTGACTATGATTTTCCCTGTGTGTGCTTTATCTTTTGGAAAATTCCCTCCCATTGTATTAACAAGTATAGATTTATACCATCTTTATATCTTTTAATTACATAGCTAGAATTTCTTACTCAAATTCTAGCAAAAATTTCTAACAATTTCCCCCACAGACTAGCTTAGATCACTTGCCCATTCCTGAACTAATCATTTTGGCCAAGGAGATGGGATACTCTAATTGAAAATGCCTGTCATCTTACAACTTCTCTGGTCAGTCAGAGAAGTCAATAGAAAAAGTTTCTATTAGTAGAGAAAAAACGAGGTGGAAAAATTGTGTTAAGTAGACAAAACCGTAGCTAACACAATAGACTACCAGCAATATGTCCAACCTTATGATGTGAGAAGGGCATATATAATATGGGTGTAGCAAAAACAAAGTAATATACTCAAATCTCAATTATCTGGATGTTCTATATAGAAGTATAGGTGGAACATATGACCATTTTTTTTCAGGTAATAACCTTCTTTTTTTTATGGGATGCTTCACAGTTTTGTGTGTTATCCTAGTTCAGAGGCCATGCTAATCTCTGTATAATTCCAGTTTTAGTATGTGTGCTGCTGAACTAGCACAACAGCTTTCATTCTTGATTAATATTTCTCCAGTACACTCTTTGGACCAATTGCCCCAGAATTTTTGGGAATCTTGTTAAAAATAATTTTCTGGGTTCTATCCTAAATCTGTTGAATCAGAATCTACAAATAAATTCCTCTTGGCTGGGAATCTACAGTTTTAGCAAGAAGTCTGGGTGGATTTTATGCATCCTAATGCTCCAGAGCCATGGCTCTATGTTATTTAGACATACTGAATTCCTGGTAGAGGCTATTGGATTTGGTTTTGTAATATAGGATGTAAACCAAGTAAGTCTGTTTTTAGTGCTCAACAAATATTTGATGCATTGAATAATTGTTCCTTATTACTTCAGAATAATTAAGTAGAAGCCCTAAGAACTAATAATAATTCAAAATCACAGGTATTTTTTTTTTTAATGTGGGGATTTCTGGCTATGGTGTAGTAATGAGGACAGCAAAAATTCTTTACTCTCAAACAACTCTAAAACTTGACAATATTGTTTTAAAAAAAATCACCATTTCAGGAATCTGGAACAGAAGAGAAGCAACCAACAAATTGAGAAACATTTTTTCTGAATTTCAGGAAAATTCAGAAAACTGAATTTTGGGAAAGAACAATGAGAGTCTGTGGCATGCTTGTCTTGGGATTCTACCCTCTGTCCACGATATCAGTGTAAGGTAGTTCTATCACAATGGAGATGGCAGTGAAAATCAGCAGCATTGCTAGTAGAAGGGGCTAACTTTATTTGAAGTAGAGAATGAAAAACTTATGTCCAATAGAAATGTCAAAAAAAAAAAAAAGCAGCTACCTCAGTAGAAATGAGCAGGAATGCTAGCAGCTATGGTAATCTCAGGGTGAAGCCCTGTATGGAATCAGTGGCAAACCAAACAACCAGCTGAAACTTAACAAAAATTTTAGATATGAGAGAATCCTGGTGGAGCTCTCCTCGGCTGTCCAGGAGGTTATATCAATGCAAAAGGAGACCTGAAAGGATCTGGTGGAAATTAATGTCTGGGCAGTACATGAAAACGACCCGAATTTGTACATATACATAAAGTCACACACAAATCCATCAGCAGTGTGTGGATGCCTTACTGACACAGTTATTTGAGCACAACCTCTGACCAATTGTTAGCTGACCATTAAATTAGGAAAACTAAGAAGTGATTCCTAGGAAGCCAGGCTTAAAGGAAACAAAATGATTTAAAAAATAAGCACAAACACCAGAGACCACAAAGCATAGGGAAGACAGATTCCACTGAAAAGCTACAAATAAATGAAATAAAACTAGCAAAAACAGCCAGCTTCAGGGGAAAAAAAAAACAAGAATCCAGAGCTCCTATAATATATTTCATAAAATGTTGAGTTTTTAAAAATAAAATGTCAAGACATGAAAAGAAATAAGATTCAAGGGTAGGATCAAGATGGCAGAGTAGGATGATCCCAAGTTCACCTTCTCCTGTCAAAATCTACACTAAAATCTGCAACTACATATAGAACCACTATCTGTAAGAATGAACTGAAAACTAGCAGAACAGATCATACACAACTAAAGATATAAAGAAAAAAATCACCTTGAGATGGTAGGAGAGGTGGAGATGTGATTTGGTCAGGACCCACACCCACAGCACAGCAACCCACAAGCAGGAGGGGTATCACAGTTTCAGAAGACTTCCTTGAAGAATGGGGGGTTTGCACCCCACATCAGGATTCATAGCCAGGGGAGCTTGCAGGAGAAAGATGAGCCCCCGTAATGTGTGACTTTGAAAATCAACAAGGTTTATGTTCAGGAGAGCTGGAGGGCACTAGGAAACTACAACTCTGCTCTTAAAGGGTGTGCACACAGTATCATTCATTCTGAGTACCAGCACAGAGGCAACAGTTTGAAAAATACCTGGGTTACATGTGAAGATTCCCTGACTAGGGTGGGTACAGAGAAGCAGGGGTCTACTAGAATATTCTCTGAGGACAGAAGCACTGGTAGGTACCTCTTCCTTTTTTAGTTTTCCCTTCTACCTAGGCCCCAGAGCTGGTGAACCCTATTTCTGACATTCTCCATCTACTGTACAAACTCTGCTTTTGCAATCCTGCCTGACATTCCCCTTCACCTTGCCCAAACCACCCACTGGGCTAGGGCCCCTTTCCAGCACCTTACTGCTTGCCAATCCTGGTGGACATCCATGGCTGGCAGCAGAGGCCCTCTCAAGCAGCTCTCAGCCCTGAAACTCCTGGTGGACATCCTCAGCTGGCACTGGGGTCCATCCCCAGGGCTCCTGTCCCAGGGGACCAGCCCTCCACACCAGAATACTTCACAGCAAGTCACATAGAAGGCCTGCTCTGCCCACCAGTGCACCCATAGCTGTCATAGCCAGACCTGGGAGACAGTCATGTTGGGGTTCAACTCCATACATCAGCATACCCACAATAGTTGTGGCTGAGCCTCTCAGCTAGGTGGGTTTAGGGCCAGACCCACTCACAAGCAAGCCTGTAGCAGTTACAGCTGGACGTTGCAGACAGCCATACTGGGGGTCACCCCTAATAACAGCAAGTCTACACCACCTGTGATGCGGCAACAATGAAGTGTGCAGGCAGCCCCCACATGGGTCATTGCTGGGGCATGTGGCTCAGGTGATGGGTAGGTGGGTGGGAGAGTTGTGGTGTCTGTACTACTGTAATCCAAAGCTTTATCATAAAGCCACCCCTTCAAGACTGGAAGTTATAACTGATTTACTCAATATGTGGGAACAATTAGAAAGTTAGGCAAAATGAGGATACAGAAGAATATGTTCCAAGTGAAAGTATAAAACAAAACCTCAAATAAGACCTAAATGAAATGAAGATAAAAAAATCCACTAGAAAGTGAGGATGCTCAGGAGATGGTGGAGTAGGAGGATCCTAAGCTTGCTTCTTACCACAGACAAACTTAAATAACACACACATCAGTTCACTTAACCCAGAAAATCACTAGAAGACTGGCAGAGCAATCTTTCCACAATTAACTGTAGAGGAGGCCACTTCAAAAACAGTAGGAAAGGTGAAGACCTGGTAGGGAACCAAACTCCCAGCAAGACAAACCACAAATGGGAGGGCGCCACAGTCACGGAGAAAAGGGAAGAGTAGACCGCACACCAAGGCACCTCACACGGGGAAGATTTGCAGTGGGAAGGTAAGTCTCCATAACATTTGGCTATGAAAACTAGTAGGGCTTAACTTTGAAAGTTTTTTTACACCCACCAGGGCTTAAGTTCAGATACTTAAAAAACCAGCAGGCTCAACCATGGGAGAGCTGCAGGGTGATAGGAAACTGAGTCCCCACTGTTAAAGAGACAGCATAACAAAAAAACCCCACTGAGATACAGAATAAAAGCAACAGTTTAAAAGGCTTCTGTGTATATATGAAGGAAATTTCTTACTAATCTCAGAATATATGCTGGAAGGGCAGGGATCTTTAGAAGACTTCCCCAAGAATGAAAGAATGGTAGGTATCATTTCTCTATCCCCCCACCCTCCACCAGCCTAGATGCTCAGTCATCTGTGGCAACCAGCATGAATATCCTCCACCTAACTTTCTTATTTTTAACATTTTTTAAATTTATTTGACAGACAGAGATCACAAGTAGGCAGAGAAGCAGGCAGAGAGAGAGGAGGAAGCAGGCTCCCTGCTGAGCAGAGAGCCCCATGTGGGGCTCGATCCCAGGACCCTGGGATCATGACCTGAGCCAAAGGCAGAGGCTTTAACCCACTGAGCCACCCAGGTGCCCCTTATTTTTAACATTTTAAATTTTCACTCAATTAGTTAACATATAGTGTATTATTACTTTCAAGGGTAGAATTTAGAGATTCGTCAGTTGCATATAACACCCAGTGCTCATTACATAAAATGCTCTCCTTAATGCCCATCACCCAATTACCCCATTCCCCCACCCACTTTTCCTCCAGCAACCCTCAGTTTGTTTCCTATAGTTGAGTCTCTTATGATTTGCTTCCCTCTGTTTTATCTTATTTTATTTTTCCTTCCCTTTACCTATGTTTATCTGTTTTGTTTCTTAAATTCCACATATGAGTGAAATCATATGGTGTTTGTCTTCCCTGCCTGACTTATTTATTTTTTTTAAGATTTTATTTAGGGCATCTGTGTGGCTCAGGGGATTAAGTATCTGCCTTTAGCTCAGGTCATGATCCCAGAATCCTAGGATGGAGTCCCAGATGAGGGTTTCTGCTCACCAGGGAGCCTCCTTCTCCCTCTCCCTTTGCTTGCCACTCCCCCTGTTTGTGCTCTCTCTCTGTGTCAAATAATTAAATAAAATCTATTTTTGAAGGTGGGGACAAGATGGCGGGGAAGTAGGAGGAGGCGCCTTTTCAACCTGTACCCTAAAGTGAGCTGATTACCTACCAAAGAACTCCGATCACCCATGAAATCAGCCTGAGATCAGAATTACACACATCTGGATCTCTACAGGGGCAGAAGATGCCAGTGGGCAGGTAAAGCGGAGTGGGAAAGGCGGACTGATATCGGAAGATAAACAAAAGGGGGAGGGAGCCACCAGAGGTGACCGGTTGGAAAGTAATACCCCTAATACGAGTGAGAGTGCCCTGCCTCTGCGGACCAGCATTAACTTGGAGAGTGGTTGAGAGCACTCCAAAAGAGCAAAAGATCATGGGGGGGGGGGAAATTGTGGGAATCAGGGCGGCGAGGAACAGGGGCTTAAGTCCTCGGACCCAGGACAGCCTCCCCTGGCACTGAGCCAGAAAGAGTGCAGTGGAGAAACCAGGTCTTGGTCCCTGAGCCGCCAGCGCGTCCGAGATTGCGTGGGTTCTGGCCCCTGTGAAGGGATGGGAGCCACGCCGGAAGGCAGAACTCACGAGCCCTGCTACAGAGCCTGAGATGCGTGCACCCCTCATCCTCCCCCTAAGAGAGATACAAAGGCCCAGCCAGCGCTCTTTGACACACGCCATTGTTTCAGAGCCTAAGACGCGCGCCCCAATCTCTCCCCTGAGA